TTCCTTTTGGGTGCTAATTTCAGACTTAGTTTTCTCATTTACCAAACTCTCTACTGATGTGTCCTTGGTTTGAGTTTTCTCATTAGCTTCCTCATCCCTCTGAGTTTTGGAATTTCTAACTTTTACTTCTTGTATTTGGCTCTTTGTCGCCTCCTCTGGAGCTTCTATTTGTACTGTCTCTTGTCTCTGATTAAGATCAGATTTTGGACATTTGGATTCCTCTTTTCCAGGGCTACCTACTGTCTGTGGTTCTTCCTTGGTCTCAGGCTGCAAACGTTTCTCCTGTGATGATAGCTGAGATGGCTTCTCTGAATTTGCAATGTCTTTTTCTGCTTCACCCTCGATGGTTTTGCTCTTGAGCTCCACATTGCAACTGTTCTGTGAGTCACTGGTTTCCACTGCTGCGTCATTAAGCTTTTCATTTGGTTTTGAGTCTTTCACTTTTCTCTTAGATTGTTGACCAAGTAAAAGAGCCTCTTTGTCTGGCTCATTTTCAACATTCTTGGGCAATTCAGAAACAGTCACAGTCTCTGTTTGAATGTCCAAAGCCTCTGCTGGTTTCCTGCCAACCTCGTCTTTACTTTTCTCTTCTACCTCCAAGTCTTTTACTAAATCTCTGCTTGATGCGTTGGACAATCTGTCCTTTTCGTTTGTGGTTTGATCTTTCAATAACTCCTTTTGCTGCTCTGTATTGACAAGGTTAGCATCCACTGAAGCAGCAGGGAGAGCGCCTGAGTGTTCATCTTTCAGTTTAGGCTCTTCAGCAGGAAGACTGTTTCTGGTAGTCTCTTTTTGAGAGGTGACTGTATTTATTTCTGTGAGGGAAATACATGCGGGCACAGCAGCCTCCTGCTCAGAGTGGGTCTTTGTTTCACAGTGAATGCTGTCACCCACAGCAGGTTTGGCTGACATATCAGTTACATCCCCGTGAGCTGGTACTGTGTCCTCAGCCAGTGCTATAGAATTTGCCCCTTTCTCCTGGATTAAATCCAGTTTCATGTTACTTGTGGGCTTGGTCGTCTCTAAAATCTCTTTGTCTTTTACTTCTGGAGAGGTTTTTGCTGACATCAGTGCTTTCTGTCCCTGTATGGTATTGTCACTTTGAACATCAGACACATTTTTAGGTAGAATCTCAACTTCAGTTCTTTCAACATCATGCTGTCCTCTATCAGTCTCTGCATTACTTACATCAGAAACTTGGGACTGAGATGGAATTGCTTTGTCAACCTCACTGCTGGGCAATACTCCAGCTCCTGGGTCTGTACCTGTTGCTACGATTACCTCAGTGCTTTCTGTTGTGGTTGCATCAGTTTTTTGTGACGACTGAGTTTTTGAAGTCTCCTCAGGTGTAGCACTGCTTATGACCTCCTCTAAATCTTTTGTCTCTTTTTCGTTCAGTTTGGTTTTACCAGCACCGGTCTGTTTATCTGTGAGTTTTATAATGTTCTCTTCTTCCTTTGCAGACACAGACTTGAATTCAAATCTGTCATCAGTGACACTGTCATTCAGCTGATCCACTACAACATTCTCAGGTGTTTTGACAGTCGTCTCTGTGGATGTGTTTTGACTTAAATCCTCAGACTTTTCATCTTTGGAGTTTTGAGGCTCTTTGGATTTTACTTTGCTGGAGCTTCTGTGACCTCTTGTAGGAAGCTTGCTCACAGATCCTGAAGTCTCAACTGAATCCTTTCCAGGAATTCTGACGTGCTGTTTGGCATGATCAGTCTGTTTGGAAAGCCTTGATGAGCCAGTTTTGTCTTGCTTGGTGGGAGGTGGAGAGACACAGGATGTCCGAGTGACAGTCTCATCATGGCTGATGCTGCTTTTGGAAAGGTGTCTGGATCCCTTCATTGATGGCAGGCCTGATGGAAACACATAAACACACAGCTTTAACACAATTGAACTGGGATTACAAGGCTGAAAACACTGCCTAAAGATAAGAAAAACCACCTACTGACTCAACTCATAAATTAACATACTATAGCACTTGTGACCTCAAAAACAAACATTTGATTTTAAAGGGGTAATATATCTTGTCCAGGTACAGATTTACCAGACAAGATATAATGGCAATAATATAACTGGTCAGTTTTACTGCTGGTAGGTGGATTCAGTTATGTGTGAACAGAGCCAGAGTGGTCGTTTCCAACTGTTTGCAGTCTGTGGTTGAAGCTAAGTTAAGCATCTATGAGCTGTAGCTTCATGTGTATCATACATGAGAGTGATATCAATGGTTTTCAACATTATTTTAGCATTTTATCTATATTTTTGATCGACCCAGTAAAGAGAGACAGCAAATGTGTGGAGACTGACATGCAGTAAAGCGCCACCTGTCTGGGAATCCAACTAGGGACTCACAGCTGACTGTGTTTGCACTCCAACCTTTAAGTAATAAACACATTTCCCAGAATGTCAAACTATTGCACTAACTCAAGAACACTTTTAAACCTTAAAATGAATTTTGATTACAAAGTTGAGATTGAATATTAATGTCAATACAGCGACTAAGATGATTTTGCTGAAGTGAAAACAGTAATTGAACTGACTGATTACTGTTGTACTTTGGTACCTTTTTTGGGGCTTTCAGCGGGCGGAGGTGGAGTCTCACTACCAGATCTCTCGTCAGGAATTTCTTCTAGCAGCTCTGGACTCTGCTTCCGGACTGTTGCAGGTCTCTCCGAGTCTGTCTGACCAGACGAAACCTTTTTAACGTTGGTGCCACTTGTTTGAGTGACATCATCTTTCTTCTTTCTTGCTGGAAATGAAATGGGCAAGCTGCTCTTAGATACCAAAGAAGCACTTTTCTCCTGTTTTTTGACATCAAGGCTTTCCCTTTCACGTGGGAGTCCTGTTTTAACACGTCTTTCCCCATTCTCTTTCTCCACACCATTTACTAGGTTTACAGACTCAAAGTCTTTATCTGACTTATCCTTATTAAGCTTAGTTTCCGTCTTGGTGATAGTTTTTGTGGGAGAAATGTTTCCTGGCACAGATTTCCCTCCTTTAGCTTCCTCAAAGCTTGGTTTCCTGCTCGCTTTGGTTGTAGTGGTTGGAGATTTCAAAGATTCTTTGGTTCTGGGTTGTTTTTGCAGTTTGGAAGTGACTGCTAACCCTGAGGCATCAGGAACTGAGGTTCTATCTGGAGTCACTGGTGATTTCACTTCTGTATCTGATGTTGACCTTTTGGGGATTTTAGACTTTGAGAGACTGCTGGTGCTTTGGTCTTTTAGTGTTGGTAACATAGAAACTGTTTTCTCACTGCTATACTCCCTTTGTGATGGAATATCACTGGAAATTTCCACTTTTGTGCCCTCTGTGGTGCCCTTTGCTTTTGTGATGACATTCTTGGCCTTGCCTCCAGCTGCATAGGATGGGGCCTTTGTTCCACTTGCAGCGGTATGCCGACTTTCCGCAGCTCCTTTAACCCCTCGTTTAGAGAGAGTAGTCTTGGTAGTTCCTTGGCCTCTAATCCCAGATTCCACGACTTGTGACTTTGTTTTGTACATGTCTGAAGCTGCAGAGGTGTCATCAAAGTCAGAAGCTTCAGAGTCAGTTTTTTCTTTTACTATGGGTTCAGGAGTACTTGTGCCAGAGTGTGTAGTCTCATATGTTGTTGTGGAGAGTTCAAGGTTGGCATCCTTAAATTCTGCATTGTTGTTGTTTTGAAGGCTGGGCAGTCTGTCAGGGGAAAGACAAAGAGGAGATTATAGAGCAATCTTTACAGCCATGTATGTTTTCACATGAGCTATAATACATTCCGTTTATAATCTCCTGTTGGAATGATAATATTTCTGCATGCAACTTAACCACTGTGGGCAATACATTTATCTGCTTTTCTTTTTGCCTGAATGTTTGAGGAGAGATTGATGCCCCTCTCTCATCTGCATGATAAATACTTCATGTTGTGAACAAAAGTGTGCATACACTTCTACAAACCATGGCAGTCTGGAGTTTCCAGAGACTCTTCTAACTCATGCACCTTTTTCACAAAAACAGTCGTGCTTTTTGGTTATTTCATAGATTTATTATAGGTCTTCTGGAAATATGACTCAACCTGCTGGGTCCAAAATGTGCACACAGCAACTTGAATTATCAGGTGATGTAGAAAGAAAGTTGTGTTATTCTATTCTTCTCTCTCTCTCTCTTACTCGCTCCCTCTCTATCTCTATCTCTCTCTTTGTGTGTGTGTGTGTGTGTGTGTGTGTGTGTGTGTGTGTGTGTGTGTGTGTGTATGACTGCTTAACTTCTCCCCGGTTAGTTTAGGTTAGACTGGAAACAGGGTAAAAAATCTGAATTGCTTGTTTTTTTCACACTTCTGGTATGAACTATGCAAATAAATGTATTATTTGTTAATAAACAAGATCTTTTTAATTTTAAATACAGCTTAGCTATTAGTCTGTTATCTAAGTTTGAACAAGAAATAAGAAGTATAAGAGTAATTTCCAAAGTATTGAACTAGTTCTTTAATTAAAGCTCCTGGCACTTTATGAAGATCTTCGGCAGGGTTAGTCCTGAGATAAACTTTTCACTTGAGTCAGAGGAAAAACTACTTTAAAAATATTGCGTGGTCAAACAAGAATCCCCTTCCAGTAGTCCTGAAACAATAAATCATTTCCAGTGCATTTTCAGGCATGTCCACCTGAATGCTTAGCGACTTAGGAATTTACAAGATATTAACTCATAGATTTCATTTTGCATTCCTAGAACAGCAGTACCACTAAACACTGTCTATAACCTTGTGTTTAAGTGTATCCAGGTAACCCTAAAGTCAAACTAAAGTGTGCAGGCGGTTGCTGCTTGTTGCCCTTCTACTTCTTTAATGACTAACTTATTCAGGCAGTGAATACATACCAAAGGAAAAGGTGACTTTCATTTCTACTGACAGAAAAAAAAACAACTATCCTGCCTTCTTTATTGCAACATTCATTGTTTAGTAAGTAACAGTTACATATTAGGGATTTTAAGCTCCATCTGTAGACGTTTAGAGAAAGATGTTCTTTTTTTTGAATGTCTGGATGTACTGTATATGAATATTTCAGTGCCTCCCTGCAGGTTTAGCCCATTGTTCTCCTCTGGTACAATGGAACATGGGAACTCAGGGCTCAGGTTGCATTGCATGCTTAGCTCTCTTTAGCTCCCCTGCTTTCTGGTTCTCACAGGATCAAAGGCACCATTAAACAGCAACCGCAGAAAATGAAAATAGACAGATACTCACGCTTCTGTTGTGTTTGTGGTCTTTGAAGTGGAATCTCCGCTGCACTCCTCTCCCACCAGCTCGTCTTCTTCCAAACTTGGCTCCGAGCTAACGTACACCTTCTGGGCAAAAACCTTGTGCTTCAAAGGCAGATTCACAGTCTTGCGCGTAACACGAATTTCTGTCGATCTGTTTTTCTCCTGAGGTGAACTCTGCTTTGAGTCGTTGCCAGTGTCAGGCTCCTCTAACTGTGGCGAGCTTGTTTGGAGCTCTCTTGTAGTCGGTGCCAAGGAGGTGGCTGATTCTGGCGAGCTGCCACCAGCTGGCAAAATCTGTGACGGGGCAGCAGGACTGTGTGCAGCGCTCTGGCTCACCAAGTCATCCTCAGGAATTACTGTGACAGGTATAGCCAGCACGGGAGGCGAGTCAGCTCTCAAGCCCTCCTCCCCTTGTTTCATTATATCCTTTTCTTTCTCACCCTCCCCCACCTCCTCCTCTCCCAGGTGTGTTTCCACCCATATGGCTTTGTGGAGCTGGATGGGAGAATCACCTCTGAGTGCTTGTTCTCTCTCAGGTGAGGGGCTCCTTATGGTGGCTGTAGTTTCCCCAGAGAGGCTGCTGGTGGATGTCTGAAGCCTACTTCTGGCTCCTGTGCCTTCCCTCTCTACATCTGGAGACTTTTCCACCTGTTGAGTTTTGATGATGTGTGAGGTGGATGACTGGGAGCCTAAAGTGATTCCTGTTAGTGCAGTGCTGTGCCCGTGCCCGCCAATTTTCACCACAGTTGATTTGGATGCTAAACTTATAGAGGTTAAATTAGGAGATTTCGGGGCCTCGGCTGTTTTGGAAAAGGGGATTTGAAGAGACGACATGGTGGTTGGGGTGACTATATCATCTTCACTGGAACTCTTCACAACGTTTCCTTCCAAATTAACCTGCAGCCTCTTGCTTACTTCCTCCACCACTGATTCTGTGAAGCCTAACTCCGAGTGTGAATCAGCACTTTGTTCAGCGGTAGAAGCAAGATCCAGAGCAGCGGCAGCCGCGTTGCCAGAATTCCTTTCACTGCTGCCTGTGCTGATCCTGCACACATGCACCTCCCTCACACTGCTGCTGCTGTCACTGTCTGCGAATGGGAGCTCTGCTTCAATAGCCACCACAGAGGCCATGCTCGAGACGCTGGGACTGGAGGTTTGGCTGTGGGTGTCCCCATGCTCTGCTCCTAGTCTGTACCCTGCTACTGCACAATGCGGCCCTGTCAGCCCACTGTCTTTTCGAGAAGGAGTAGGAGTCTTCTGTCCATCCTCCTCCTGAGACTGGGATGAACGTGGAGATAAGGGGGATGCTGGGGAACTTGCAGAGGAGTCTGAATGCTGCCTACTGCTCTTCTTCCTCTTGGAGCTGAAGAAGCTGCTGATACGATTGAACACTCCCTTCTTTTCCTCTGAATTCTAAAAGGGGACAGACAGAAGCAGACCGAAAGAAAAATAATGAGATGAAGAAAGAGGCAGGCGTACCTTTTGTATCTGGCTTTGCTAAAAAAAACAAAACAGAAAAACAAACGCAGAAGGTATGCTCTTCAGCAGACATGCAGCCAAAAGCTGAGCAAGAAAATGGATGGAATTTAATTTCCATTAAACTGTAACTGCATTTAAAATAGACTTCTGCTGTCATATTTATAGATAGCCTCAGTTTTACATTACCTTGAATTTACAGGGAAGTAAATAAACAATTTGTACGCACTTATTCAATATCTGTGAAAACTATAAACTAACTAATGTTTATTATTAAAGTAAAATCATATATAAAGAGCACAATTTATTAGTGGCATAAAATTTGTTGTGACAGAAACATATTTAGCTAACTTGAAAGTGGTTTTTCCTAATTTAAAAAACAAACAAACATTCTACTTTGGATTTAGAATTTGTATTATTTGGTAGAACAACAAGATATGTTTTGTGTACAAATGATACACTTCTTTGTTGATAGTTTACTAGCATAGCTTAAAGAATGATCAGGTGTTGTCCAGATTTTACTTTCCACAATTAAAATCAGCGATGGTTAACATATTAACCAGACAAAGTGACAAATTATATGATACACTTCAGCAAAACCACAAACTATATCCTCCAAAATGATCTTGCAGTTGAATCATCACCTCTTTAAAACTGTTTCAACCAGACCTGAACGTTTGAACCTTGATGCACATAGGAGTTATTGCAGGGCTGTTGTATTATACTCTGTTAATGTTAGCAAGATTGACCTTGTCACCTTTTAACATGGCGCGCTATTGATTTAAATTTTATGGAACTGATTACAGGAATCATTTCTGATACAAAACAATAGAAATTAATTCATGTACATGAAGGAAGATGGTTTTATTCTGCAAATAAAAGCATATTTATAAGATTACTATCCGTAATACCTACTTAAAAACATTGTAAAACTATCTGTACAGCAGCTCAAAAATGAAGGTTTACTAAGCTGGATGTGCTAAATGGAGATGGCTTCCTGACTGAACTAACACACTTGGAAAACAATCAGACTGAATGACTAACTCGACAGATAAAAAATATCTTTGATGGTCAACTCAAGGGTCACTTATCTGAGCTACTAACTGAACATAAACAGCAAAAGAATGAATTAGACCAAAAGTCTCTGATAACAGGACTATTGTTAAATATTGAAGTACAGCACAGTGCGAAACAACAGTAGTAATTTGCGTAGTCAAATCGAAACCACACTTTCACGTGTGCATTAACATTTTTAACAAATTTACATCACAGCCAAGACAACCTGACACAAAGGTGAAAAACCACCAGCTGCCAAAACACACCGTACCAAACTTGGCTACTGCATGAAGATAATATGTTAGAAAAAGAAGAATGAACAATATGAGAAAAAACAAAACAGTAACAGCAACAGGAGTTCCATACCATTTTGACGTCCTGGAAAACTGATGAAATCCTTCAGATTTCTGAGTCTAACTTATTCTTAGATGAAAAATGAGCAAATATTCATGTCTTGACAAAGACATAATAGCACTTAATCCAGACAGTTACAAAAGTGTGCTTAACCTGCCTACTTTTTCTGGACAACACGGAAAATTAAAGTCGGTCCTCTCTTATAAGCAAACAAGCACAACTGACTCTATCTGCTTGTGTGTGCCGACAGTTAAAAGTGTCCCAGCTCTGAACACAGTGCCTGACTTGAGGGCATGGCCATTTGCATCACAGCTACAGTGCAAAAAAAAAAAACATTGTGAAATACAGCTCGCATGGCAAACAAGCACAAGGAATTCACAATCCAGTAAAATCAAGAGGGTGTGGATAAGCTTGTTGCAGACAGCCCCACCCTTCCTCATTCTAAAGCTGCGCCTATCAATAGGACATCTGTTATCTGCTATGCCTGACTATATTTAGGAATTCAGTTAGTATCACTAAAAACTCATTAAACCTAACATTTAGATATGAAATACACATAAAAATGGGTCAAAGGTGCCACAGTCCAATGCTGTAATGTAAGTAAATAATATACTGTCTACTTTACATTCATTCTAACTGAGTTAAATGTGAACATTTCCAAAGTACTTCCTGAACAGACACTTTTCTGTCATAAAAAACCTATTTCAACACTCACAGGACTGTCAAACATTTACATGTTTTTACTGAGCAAACACCACATAAAGACAGTGTGGCTGGGATTTCCAGTTCATGTCTAAACAGAATGAAGCACAGAAACCCAACTGGATATTGTTTTTCTTTAACATGTAGTCACAGCTGTGGTACAGTACCTCCAGGTTGTTTCCACTTATTCACAAATCCATCGTGTTGATCAGTCAAGTATTACGAGTCCAGTGTATGTTTAAGTCTAGAGTGACTACCGACTGTCCCTCTTTGGAAAGCCACGACTGGAATATTAGGTGTCCACCAAGCACTTCTCTTGTATTTACTCAAAGCAATGACAAATCACAGGTAGGAGGAGATATAGAACCATATCTGTGTGCATTATGACCCACTTCCTTATCTGTAAAGCTCTGCTTCATTCCCTGATCTCAGCAACAGGCACAACACAGGGACAATGATTCCCATCTTGATTAAGCACTGTCCAGTAAACTGCAGAACAAAGAGTAAACACAGTCATCAAATGAGTTTATGAGGCATCTTAAAGCTATAAACGTCATAAAAATCACAGTTATTGTTATACATGCTAAATCTGACTTGTTTGAATTCAAGAAATCATTAATATAAAACACATGGACGTAGTCAAATGTGTCTTTTCAAGCACTTCAACCGACGCAGAAACCACAGAGGACAGGTTTGGCAGGTTTGAATCTATGGAAAGTAGCCCAGCAACAATAAAATCCCATGGGATAAAGGGCATCTGATCTTAAAGGAGAAGCACACTTTTACAGCCTGTGACTGTGCAGCTTCTATCACCTAAAGCAGGTTGGTCTGTCTCGGAGTATTTGGTCAGTATTTCCCCTACAGGCAGAACGGAGAGAGAACAGAGTGAAACTGGTGACGTCATGGAGCAGCGCAGGTGTTTGGAGAATGAACTGGAAAGAAAAGCTAAACATGTTCATATTCTCTGGTGAATCCTTATTATAAACATGACACCTCCATGAACTAAACTAAAATCAGACTTGTTTTAGATTCCCACATGTTTCTGTCACCGGAGCTGTAGAAGGTAGAAGGTTATTTCAGGGATGACACACCAGTCGTTAGCAGCCAAGGAGATTAGTAACCCATATTTGGAACTGATACACATTTGCAGTAACAATGAAAATCTTGGTGTCTAAATTTTGAATATGTCAAACTCTATCCAAATCTTTGTTGAAATATCTTTGTTTTATTTGTGTTTTCCATCAGTTTACCCATTACATGTAGCCAATCAGATGTTGCAGTGGGCGGGACATTGCTGGACATCGCAGAGTGACGACAGGCAGAGAGAGGCAGCACAACTGAAGTGGTGCTTTTTATGAAGAAATGTTTTTTTTTGTTTTTGTTTTTTATCAGGAGTCAGTAGAAAAAAGAAAAGAAAAAGAAAAGCATAGTGATAATTAAAGGAATGCTCAATATTGCATAAATAATTGGTTAACTATCAAATATTACCAACTTGTGCGTTGTTAAATAAAACCTGCTGCCACGTCTCCCGCTAACATTAAATAAATAGCAAAATAGGAAACACTTGAGCATTATTAGCAAAATGTTCCCAATTTATCAAATGTAAATAAAAAATAAATTTAAAAAAAGGAAAACAGCTGCAGGGGGCAGATTTTTCTAAAATGTCAGAATTTGAAAATCCAGCCCTCCTTCTGCAGCTCTGCCCTCTCTGTCCCAAACCCTCCCACCAGATGGGCATTGACATCTACATGCACTACAAACGGGAAGAGAAGTGGTGCAAAGTTCTAGTTTCCACTACTCAAACTAAAAGATGCTGAAATGTTAATATGGATTGTTCTTGTTGCATCATGACAAGCTGCACATTATTTTTTCTGTTTGAGTTCAACAAAAAAAATCTTCAAAGCTTTTATTCTTCTTTGGTTAATCGGGGAAGGATGTTATGGGGTTCAGTGTGTAATATTTTTGTGTACAAGCTGCCTCTAACATGTGGGAGAGTTGATGGTTAATGTCGGGGTAAATAAATGGAAAGTGCAAGAACAAGAACCTCCAAATTATACTTGATAATATTTCCAAAGTTACATTCCCCCACTGGAGTACAAAACCTCCAAACATAACAGAGAGCTTCTTGTCATCTCAGGAATGTTTGACTTCTTCCATTTTCAAGAACTTCATAAATGTTCAGTGGGGTTGAGGTCAGGTGACTGTTGAGGAAAGTCCACGACAGTCAGCACTCCTCGGTTTCCTTTGGCCTTCAAGTCAAACCTTTGTGTGTTTGGACTCATCATCCAGCTGCGGTATGAATCCTGCTCTACAAACATGCATGCTGCTTCACTCTGGGTTTGATTCACTGTAGTATCATTCTCTTACATTCTGTTACTGCCACTAATCTTTAACTGGTATCATCAATAAATAGCATTTCTTTTTTCATCATCCACTGAGAGATGCTGCTTTGTCTTAGCCCATCCAGAGTGATTGTGTTGTTTCCCTCCTGAGAAGCGGTTTAGCAACTAATCCTCTGAGACTCAACTAGTCAGCTTTCATGACTTTTGCTGAGTGCAGACTTGTGCTCTTTATTTTGCAAATTCTGAATCTCTGAAGAAGTTGGTTTTCTATCTGTCACTGAATAAAGTTTGATATATTGATCTCGTGGTGCTGTGCTCACTTTTGCTCTGCCTGATCTCAACGTACTGCCTCTTTAGAAACCTTCAGCAGAGCCAAGATTTGACCCTAAGAGAGCCCCTCTTTGTTTAAAATAACAATCTATCTTCCGACACTTAGTCCTGCTGCCATGTTTCCCACTATCACAGCACAAACAGGTTGATTCAGTTGCACAAATCTACCTGACAGTCAACTAAATGCTTTTTCAACGAGAGGATACAACTCAAGGAAATGTGACCTTTGTACAAAGTCACTAATCTGCCACTGCAACTAATCTGCTTGTGACTGCTGCCCTAGAAACAGAGCAAACTTTTGAAATATTTCTTCTTCATTTTCCATGTCAGAACTTTCATGTGTCTAAATCCTCAAACTTGCCGATTATTTTCAGATTTCCATAAAAGCATGACAGATGTTCAATGTGGTCTCAGATTTTTGGATCCTTTTCTATAATCCAATCAGAGGCATCTATGAAGGAATTTTACATGTAACTCAAATAGCTGTGCTGCTGTTTAAGGAGACTCTTCATGATGTCCCAAACATCTAGAATACAGCATGACATATCCGTGAACCCTAACTTAGTAAGATTATACAAAAGCATGAAGCCATGATTTAGGTTTGTAAAGCAATTTGTACAGCAATTAGTGCTGCCATTTAGGAATCAGCACAGCCATAAAAATATCATTTATAACAACAAAAAACAGTTGTTGAAATATAATAATAGAATTACCTGGCAGCAAAAAAATGGTGCAGCAATAAGCCAATTACAGAGTCATCTGATGTCAATCAGCTGATGCAAGTCAAATAAACTCAATTTGCACCCACAACAACGTCTGACTTTATACATCAGAAAGAATCATTTTGTGTCAGTGGGCTGCAGTTAAACCTGTTATTGCATTATGCACATGGACACACGCTAATCTGTGACATCTTAAGTTTTGACAATTAAACCCTAAAAATGAAATAAAACCCACCTTGAATAATTTGGAGGGAGAAGTTGGGCTGTATGGCTGAGTCATGTCGAAGCTGATCATGGAGGTGGACTCAGAATGAAAGTCCCAGTCCGATTCAGTCCGGAAACTGCACTCTGTGGTAACGCTCATCTGGTCATAGCTCCTGGTGGAGAGAGGCAGGAAACAGAGACAGCCAGAGGGAGAGAGTGGGGGGAGAGAGGATGTTATGTCACTGGCCTTTGTTTCCCCTCTCACTCTACACAGCTTATGTTTTTGCACTACTGTGTATTCAACAGACCCCATTCCAACAAACTTTATTTCACCTAATGACAGTTCTGCTAAACATCTCTCTGAATGTGTCCTGATTTTCAACAACAAATTAAAAGTAAAGAGTAGAAAATGTTTTAGTCATTTATAGATGTTCATGAGTGCAGGAGCACACAATCCTGAACATGAGCTGCTGAGTTGGTTCGGTTCATAATGTTACCTGTAGGATGATGGGCTGTCGGTGTAAATGCAACGGCCCTCGCGTGACCAATATACAAACAACCCTCCTCCAGTTACGTGTCTCAGGCGCTGACACCTCCTCTAATTGTTCTAAACTACACTGATGTTTTTCATTCCACCTTCGCATTGAGTTGGAAAAGCACACAGAAAATATGACACTTGATGGACAACATTCATTCCCTCGCAGCGAACCTCATACGCTGAGCAATTAGAGAGCCACAGAGGATTGTAGAACACGTGTGAGACATGAGGAGGTGCATCTATTTCAAGAAGGAGTGGCTTCTCTGCAACTCGAGCTTGTCCGTTGCCTGCATTTACAGATGAATCACACCCAGTCTGGAACACCAACAGGCCTGTGAGCAGCGGCGACTGCAGCATTCCAACTCACTGTGGCAGCAGATGGACTAATGCTGCACTGTGGCTACAGGCTGTACTGTCACACCATGTAGTTTAAGTGTTAATCCTATTGTCAATAAGTGCAGGAAGTCAACGGCCTACAAATGTAATGTCATTAATTTTCCCAGAGTGCAATATATCCAGCTGTCAGCACTTGCTCTGCATGTTGTATTATGGGAAGGGCTGGGGTGGAAGAGGACAAAGACTTGCAGTGAACTGTTTGTCAAGACATGACAGCAATATGAAAGCACATAGCTGACAGTAAGTTAGCCTTTGGTAGCAGCTTGTCACCAAACACAATCACCTGAATGTATTGCAATACTGTGTTTCCCCACACGGAGGCAGAGTTTGATTGTTTTTCACAAATCGGTGGCAGAAGGTCAATTCAGTTGACATAAATTACTGCTTTGTAGCGTTTACTGTAGCTCTGTTAAAATGTGCCAAGACTCTGAAGTCAGCCTGTGTTTAATGAATGACTAGTGAACTGTCTGAGAAAAACATGGAGAAGAGAACCTGACTTTCTCACAGCAGTTGCTTAAGGACAGATCTAGAGCTTTGTCTTGTAAAATAATATTACTTAAATTGTCCATTTGCACAAATTGGATTGCTCCATGCTTCCACACTCTGAATGCACAGAGTACTAGAGCAGGTAATGCACAAAGCAGGTAATGCACACTAGCATTTTTACATTCTTTTGTTGAAGCTATTAAAGTTCAAAAGGAACTCGAATGCATGACAATGTAGGCAGGTTCAGAGAACACAAGGAGAGCTTAACTTACGAGCTCATAAAAGGACAGAACTAAAATACTGAGAGCAGATTCCGACCAAAGCAAAAACACTAGAAGGCAAAAAGAAGTGATATGATGCCAAAACAACTCAACTGAAGAACACAGATAAAGTGACAAAGGAAAAGAGAAGACTGAAAATACACAAAAGGTTTAATACACTGATAAGACACAGGTAACAGCAACAGCTAAAAACCGTGACATGGTTCAAACCACGCCTCACCTGATATGAACCTTGGTAGCTTTCAGTTCTTGTTTCATAAAACAGGCTGATCATTGGACATCGCTCAACACAACGTAATTCCATGTATGATTTAATACAGTACAAGTAAAGCACCAAAAAATAAAAATTGATTCATAAAAAGGGAAAGCCATTGAAAGCCTTGTCAGTGCTACGAACAATAAATAAACCACTAAGTCCACTAAGGGCCTAAATAATTAGGCCCTGAGTGGACAGAGGTACATTTTGCTTTCTGACTGGCTTTCTTAATAAAGGGTTCAGCTAGAAATTATTTCAGCATTACAACAGATCTGTATAGATAAAATGTTGACATATACTTTCTGATGCACATGCCGTGCCCAAGCTAGATTTCCTTTTCTTTCCTGGAAGTCAGCATCTTTCAAAAAAACAAGCATCAACTTGTTCCTTTCAATCAAACGCGGCCATGTGGGAATTCAAATTACACCAGAGTCTGGTCATGCTGATACACGTTGGTGGAGAGAGCGACAACCGGCAGCAGCATCCTCTAAAGTCGCTCAATATTAAACTGCTGCATCAAGTGTTAGATGCCTCCAGCATGGGAACTGATTTATACCCTGATGTGGGATCTCGCTTGTTGACTGTCATGCTAGCACTGCATCAGCAGACGGATGTGCCCTACAGTCATGCGGCTTTGTCGTGTACTTGCTTGGAGGTTTTGCCAGATCACAAATTTGTCAAGTGTGACTGAAGATTGGGATGATTACTAAACCCTATCTTGGCTTGCCTGATGTCATCACTATTAATGGTCTCAAAGGTAACAGAATCGTAAGCATCCCTAGATGACCAGTACTTGTAGTCGCTTCATGGTATCTATGTACCTGATGTTCCTACTATCTTCTGCTGACCCTCTAACTACAAATCCAGCTTCAAAACAAAATACATCTTGTTAGTGAAAACAGTTGGTGTTTGTGTATTTTTTACAGCATCACATAGAGAAAGAGTTCCAATGTGATCTTCTGTAGCTTAAAACACAGAAGCCTAAAGCTGAAGTACTGTTTTCAGGGTCAGTTTCAAACAGGTATAAAGAATGTTGGTGTAATATGCTACATAACCTGCCAGTACGTTGTTTTACAAAGACATCGCCCATGATCTTGAAGCATTGTATTATACGCAATTGACCTTTAAATTCTTGCTAACACATCATAAGTATGGGTTTCCGAGCTGAGCCATTCGGAGGTTCATTGAAAGCACTTTGTTTGATGAACAAAGTGACCAATGCATTCTGCAATCTTTGTCTCTAACACAACCTCTGGACTGTATTTCAAGAGTGTTGGAAAGTCAGAATATGTGGCTGAAGGCCAAACGTCATCTGAAAACAAAGGAAGCTCAATGTGACACAAAACGTGACTGTGCATCCTTTAAAAAAAAAAGAAAAAAAAAAAGCCTTTGAGAACAACCCTTGACCTTGTTAAAGAAGAGTTGCAGAACTTGGGTGAAACCAGTCTCCCACACTCTATGTGCAGAGCCAAACCAGCTCTAACTTGCCTGAATCTTTCTCTGTATTGCACCACAGACAAAGCTCGACTGTTGTTACGCACAAGTTATGAGATTTTAATAAGGAATGTTTGCTGTTATGCCTTTGATTCACCATGACAACTGATGTGATGACTTAACAATTTCTCAAGGTAAAAGTTTAACTTTTAAAGATTTGATGTAACCAAGAGTTGAACAGATAGAAAAGTAGAATGTGTAACAAAAAAGTCAGGTTGAGCAAAGCTGAGTTCAATATTGCTGCCTTATCTAATCCTTCTGAAGACAGCAGGTAAACACAGTCACTGAACGAAGGACTCTGGATAAAAGGTTAACTTGGAAATATTGCAATTCCACATTCTCAAACCAGTTCCCCAAAGAGTGTATTTATGAGTTCATGCTGCAAACCTTAAAGGTTCTCCTTGTAACTTTCAAAAGTCCCTTATTGGTAATAACACCAGTTAACTTATTAACCAGTTAACTGCAGTCTGCATCCTGCTGCTCTCACTTGCATGCATGTTTGCAGTCCTAGGCTTGAGTGAGCATCTTGGGCATTATCTGAAACAGTGATGTGGTCTACAGGAGACTGATGCTGCAAGATAAAGTAATTAGTGATTAGGCAAATAGTTTAAGTATCAACTATTGTCTACACTATAAACTGTGGACTATATCTGGCTCTCCAGCACTGGCAGGGCGCTACAGCCAAGTGTGGAGATAGTTCTGGCTTTGTGAGACTGTAGTCTGACGGCGCATGAGGGGAAAAAAAGTTTCTAGCTTCTGGGTTTGCTGGGGTTGTGCAGCCCACCGCATGTGTGCAGTGTTTAGTGTTCCCCCTGCTGGCCCTCCTCACTGTCTCCCAGTGGGCCCATAGTCTTCAATTCAAGATGACGTCAACATAGAAGTCGCTGCTCTAGGCCTCACGGAGCTGTAACAAATATGAAACCAGGATTTTCTCTTTGGAATACTGCAAGTGACCACTGGTTGAAACTGGCTACAAAGCTGAGTAGCTGTGCTGCATTAGCTCTCTTGATACACCCAGAGAGATGCTGTGTTATCCGTCGTAACACCCCATCCTCCCAGCCTAACCAAACAGAAAGGAGGCGGCCAGCAAAGACAACAAACTAACCTGACCTAAAATAGTTCTCAGTTTGGAACCGCCCTTCCCCTTATCAAGCCCACACCATTTAATCAGAGACACATGGCTATTTTGGCTATTTCTCTGAAAAAGGTAAAACCCTAATCTCTGTGTCACTCCCACACATACATGTATGTATAAAAGTAGTTTGCACTTCCCCAGGCAACCCTGAGATTAATACCACATTTATACAACAGACTAGTGCCAAGAAATGTTATCAACAACACCTCCTCACTCACTGTTCAGGAACAAATAATAGGCAAATCAAACAAACTGATTTCAGTTAACGCTGCAAACTTGAAGCAGCTACTGAATAAACTCAAACAAGGGATGGAAAGGATTCAACTACTGACTCACCCTCTTCTTGGTATATAAGGGGTTTAATGAGTCACTGGAAGCTGTTAATGGAAGATATCTTGTTCTGCTATAAGAAAACACAAACCTGGACCACACTGAAGAAAGGCACTTGAACTGACCGCTGTAGACAATAGATAAAGGCTGCGATACAGAATGGGCATGGCTGGACCGCTGCCTGCTGTAAGAGCTTGGTCCAAGGTCAAGTTGCCCAATAGGAAACTTGGAACTGGACACTAAGCTGCAGTGCAGCA